TTCTGAGTTGGCACCAGAGTCAAGCTGAGAAAAATGAAAGCTAAAGAAGGCCTGAGAAATGAAAACTACAACAGTAAACACTAGTTAGAAGAAACTAGTTCCATGAAATGCATTTTGAAATGAGAGCTAAAAAGAAACCAACCAAAAATGTGTTTGCCTATTTGAAATTAAGAATAAAGTAGACATGTGATACGACAACAAATTCTAAAGAACTAAACCTGAGCACCTGCCCTCGTAGCTACAAAGTACCACACTGAGAAACAAGCTAAAACTAAAGATATGCTTCTACCTAGTAAAGATAAATGGACAAAAATTATCCCAAAAGTTAATATATAAAAGCTCGAGGACACAGGTTATGGAGATAGCAGGAAGAAAAGTCTAGGAGGCCCAAAGTCTAGTTCTATAAAAGTAGGCTTGCATATACTACTCTACAGGCAAATTTAACTTTGCAAGTCACTGACCTTTAATTGTATTTGGATTTTTCCAGGGAATGAAGCCATTTATTTGGGAAATTCAAGGTAGAGATGAGAGTCTATTTCCAGGAAACTCACACAGGTCCACAGAAAATTAAGTACACAATTCTGAATAGAAGTTTTACTTTATCTGTTTTATAATCCTCTACCTGTCATTCAAAACCTTTTTTAACTCTCTTAGTAGATATTCTATTGTTAGATATTTTATTGTTAAAAAGAAAAAGAAGACAAAAAGAAAGGTAGAAGAAGGAAAGAAAGAAAAGTAGGAGAAAAAGGAAAATTGGAGGAGGGAAGTTTGTTGATATACAGTAACTTTGCTTCTCAGGTATGCTCTAGATAAATCTGCAGATTTACACACTGAATCTTCCCTGGCTATTCAAGATATTAATACTCAGTGTCATAAGCATTGATATAGTACAACAATGAAACAAGACACCTCAGTCCCTGCTCTGGAGTGAATTTCTGCAGCATCAGCTTCCTAATGTCCCTTGGGTCCCTTCAGAACTAGAGAGAATAAGAGAAATCTGATTCCATATTCAGATGACCATATACTGCACTGGAGAAAAACAGTCATACTTGTCTTGAATTATCTGCATCTTTGTGTGTATCTATTTATATAGAGGGATACATTACTTGTATCTGATTACTCTTTACTGATAGAATTGACTAAGTGACTATACTAAAGTTTGAGGTACACTAACTTACCTACTTTCACTTATACCAGGAAATATCTTATTAAAAAAGTAAAAGAATGGATTGAATTAACACAAACTTCTTTCTGTTTCATAAGTTTGAAACAAGAGTTCTTGTTAGATATACATATTTTATTCCATTTTGCAATTACATCAAAGATGACACACTTTTTTAACAAATTGAGACTACTTCTTGTTGGATAACATGCATGTGATCTTGTTCAACATTTTAAAATGAAGACTGATGATTAATATTACATTTCTAGGCAATTGAGAAGTAGTTTTGGTAGTGAGGAGTGGTATATACTGTAGTGCTAACTGAAAAGTCAGTATTTCAACTCCACCAGCTGCACCAGAGAAGAAAGCTGGGAAGTCTCCTCCCCTAAACATTTACAGCCTTTGAAACCTGATGGAGGATCACCATAAGTGGGAACTGACTAAAGAACAGTAGACTTTGGTTTTGAAAAAATGCTATAAAAAGACATCAGAAGATTCACAAAGAATAGTGGTCATTCATTACTGGGGTGGGGGGGAACACACACACACACACAAAAACCTGAAAAATCAGCTTTTATGATCTCTGCGCTCAAGAACTTTATATTGGAATTGAATCTGGGAAAGATTAAGTATGTTCTTAATTATTTCATCTACACCAGCTATGAAAGTCAATTGCATCTCTATTTGCCTGGATTCTATGTAAACCTGAACTAACTTCTGTTCTTTGTATTTCAAGGAAGTCCTTTATAAACCATTAGAAAGGCAGTGTAATAGTTTTTGTAACCAGAAGACTTGAAATTAAATTCTGGGTATTCTTAATAAAAACACTTAACTTAGCCAACTGTCTGATTTCCTGACTGTATAATGAGAAGATTAACAAATTTTGCCATTATTGGAATTTTATGAACATCAGGTAAAAGAATATATTCAAAACAACTATGAAGCCAATAAAGCTCTATGTTGGAACTCATGTCAGTCAAGTTCCGAAGGGGCACTCTATTTCATGACCCATTCCCTCCACTCTGCTCTTAGGGAAGGGCAGCTCAAAAGTGCCCCCAGTACTTTGAGAGAAAACACTCCATCTGTCACACACTTGTCCTCAGTGACCTCTTTAGACTTTTGATTGGGATTCCAATCCACTACCTACTCTATTTATTATTACTACTTTAGTTTGTCTTTTACAGTGCCAGCAAGGCCCTCAATGACATGGATTCACATACTTGATGCAAAATGGGCTTGAATACAAGAGCGATTGTGAGGATGGTGCAGGGTGCATCAGATCTTCTTTTCTTTGTGTACAGGGTAACTATGAGCTGTGGTGGACTCGACAGAATCTAACACCAGTGACAAAGTTTTGCCAAACTTTTCCCAAGAAGGGAAATGGAAGACTTTAATTTTATAAGTATGAAAATGTAGGTAATTTGAAAGTGTGATCTCACTACAGGCCTATACACAGGCATACACACATGCATGCCTGCATACACAGCTGTCCTAGCTACTTAAAACAGGACGAAAGAAAATGAATGATTTAATCAAAAGTGTTGTTGTTTTGACCTAAACAGCTGTTAAAAAATAACCTAGGAAGAAAAAAACCCCTAGGACCAAAATGTGGAGGAGGAATATAAATGCTATGAAATTTGTCTTCTTGGCCTTAATGTTTCTCATTAAGAACATAAACATTTATACTTAAGGTGTGGTTCAACACATGTGTCTTAGTACTTAAGTTTAAAACTTTAAACAGTCTTAAATAAAGAGAAATATATACTCATAAGTCATCCTTCCATGCTGCAATGTGAACAATTAAAACATAAGTCAAGGTTAAGTCTGAGGAATAGCATCTTCTAGGCATGAATCAGCAACACTTTGGACACTTAAAATAAGGTACTTACAACAGAAGCTAAAGATTTTTAAAAGTAGAAACTTATCATTTGTATTGAAAAAATGTATTTCCCTCCCAACATTGAATTAATATACACATATTGCTGGATTTTCACTTGAAAGCTGGCTGAATTTTTTTCCACATCAGAGCACCAAAATAAGCAATATGTCAATGTGAAAAAAATGTATTTTTTTGCTACCATACAAGAAAGTATATTTTTTTACCTACTTGTGGACAGTTCTCAAAACATTTAACTTCTCAGCAAAAAAACCTGTTTAAGAGAATTGTATGATATATGAATTCTGCTTGTCCAGTCACTAGTCATCCAGGGATTCCAAATCATCAAGAATAGCCCATAAAAACCTTTGGTTGACAAAAGTGTTGAGAGTGAGAGAGGGCACTTAAAAGCAAAGGTGAATAAAATTATAAGCTTCTGACAAGCTGAGAATGTACCAAAAAACAGCTGCTAAAAGGTGAACAACATCCATGTCTTCCTTGTCTCAACAGTATATCAACAAAAAAAGAAAAAGGGAAAAAAAAAAAAACCAACAATGGGAATTCCCTTCCATTGAGTGGTCTCTCCTTCTTTGGGCCCTAAAAAGACTAGGTAAATTTTACTAATCTATAGAAAGAAAGAAATTCCAAGGACGAATCAACCACAACCCATAAATTTCGAGAGGCATAGAGTTCATGCACTGCCCACACCTTTACTTTCCGTGCCTTTTGCTTGCAAACAATTCCACCGACTGTGTGCCCCTGAAGCCTCTGTAATAACCTTTCTCCCATACCAAGGTAGGGTCACTCGACCACACAGTCCATCACAGAAGAGCCCGGAGCGAGGAGACCAAAACCACTCATGCAACCTTCACCAGCAAAGAGCCCCAGGGCACTGCCCTCACGTGGTGTCGAGTCACACAGCACAGTTGGCAAGAACCTGCGGCAGAGGAAGGGAAGCACCGCCCCGGGAGGGGAGGGACGAAATCAGGGTGCTGGGGTACCAAGGGAAAGGCTGGACGTGAGGGGGTAGTACTCCATCTACAGTTCGGAGATTGTGCAGGAGACGGAAGACACAAGTCTGAATGGGTAACAATTTAGGAGGATTTGTTTGTTGGGCTTTGGGATTCAGTTTAAAGGGCAAAAGCGTCTGATTATCATCAAGTGTGAGAACTTTCACGTTGTCACAATCTCCTAGTACGAAACCCACAATTCAAGTTCTTGGTCAGGAAAGGAAGAAAAGGCTTCCAGAACTAGGAATGTCATCTCCTTAAAGGTTTGTTTATGGAAAGAAAGTAGCACCTATGGCACTGAGTTTAAAATTGCTGAGTGAATTCCCATTGCTGGCCCTAGAAATTGTCACAGCGAATAAAAACTGTTCAAAGCCCGCCCCCCTCAAGGTACGCCTGGGGGCATGAGCCATACCTGCCAAAACCCAGCTATACCTCTGCACCCCCACAAACCTTTCCATGAACCCAGCCTTGTCCTTTTCAGCCAAAGTCTGGGAAATTGTACATTTAAGAATGTTTTGCTAAAAAAAAAAAAAAAAAAAAAAGAATGTTTTGCTGAGGTGCTGTCCCCCCCAGATGCTTAAAGCCCGCTGCGTGTTGGCATTCAAGTCTAGAGCCACAAGCTGTGTTTATAACTTGTTTCGCTTTGTTGGAGGAGGGGGAGGGGAATCAGAACTCTAAGACATTTTTTTCTCCCAAACTGAGAACTGGAGTTTGGCATTCAATCCCATTTAAACTACTACAGAACTCCGGTCGACTAGAACTGCGACGGCTGCCACTGGGGTGGGGTGGGGTGGGGTGAGGCGGGGAGCACAGGGGCAGAAAGGAGAATTCTTGGGGGGTAAAGGAGGCACTGGCGAGGGAGAGGACACAGGTGAGCTCCCACCGACGCCCATCCAAAAGCCAGTGCGGCTGTCCCCTGTGCGCCACTGTCCCAACCTAGAAAGGCACTTACCAGCTTTACACGGGTCCTTGTAATCTATTGTCTCTGCTTTATCCTCTTCATTCCCATCAAAAGTGTAATCATAGTCGAGGCCAGCGCAGCCCCACTGTTCCCCGTAGAAAACAATCCCCGTGGCCACCAGCCACACCAGCATCCTCAGGGAAAGCGTTTCCAACCCCATCCTCCTCCCCTTAAGGGAAAGGAGGAGATCGGACCTCAAGGTAGGCGTCCGCTGTCCGCTGCCAAGTGCGGGGCGAGGGGAGCTGGCCCTCCTCCCACACTGGAGGTTCCTCCACAGGACTGGGGTTTTCAGGTGTCCGGAAACATGCGGATGCGGCCGGGACAGAAGAGAGGGCAGGAACCGCCTATTCCCCCACTTGCTGGGAGAAGTTGGCGCCGGGCCGCGGGTGGGCGGAGGGCAGGTGAGGAGCTCTGCTCCCGCGGGCAGGGAAGGGCTGCTGCGGGCCGACTGGGCTCCGGCGGCGCGGGCGGGCGCACGCAGCCGGCCGCGCGCCCTTCTGGCGGCCGAACTTCCCGCGGCCGCGCTCGGCCAGGCGCCCCGTGGGCTTAGCTGCCGCCCGGGCCGGAGCTCCTGCGCCGCGCGCCCGCTGCTGCCAGGACCCGGGGGCCAAGCACGAACCGCCGCCTGCTCCCGCCGCCGCGCTGGGAAGATGAATCCGGTCTGCACATCAGCACATCTCAACTGAAAGGGGAGACCGAGGAAGGGGGTGGGGGGCAGTCATTTCTGCGCTCGGAAACCTTAAAAGGCTGCGAAAGCAAGCAGAGCAACTGACTGCAAGGAGAGCAAAAGTGTGAAGATTTGGGGATGCACTGTTTGCCGGCTGTCTTTTTACCCTCTTCCAAACTTGGGGGGGAAAAAAAAATCTTCCCCGCATCTAACCCAATCACTAGCATCCTGCTTACTTATTCATACAATCAGGGTCAGGATCCGGGCCGCAGCCTCCTCTCTGACTTCTTTTGATAGTGTTACACAAACAAACACAGAAAAGCGCGCTGGTAATTCCACTTATATTTTACTAAAGATAAAAATGAGTGTATTACCTATCTATGCTCACGAACAGCGATTGATAGATGATGTTCGTGTCAGTGAGAGTGCCTGGCCGAGGGTGGCGCGAGGGATCGTGATAACTGAGCAGCAAATCTGTTTCCCCTCCCCCCAAATAAACAGCGAGCGTGTTTCTTTCCTTGCTGCTGTTTAACCTTAGTGCACCCCTAGAAAGGAGGAAAAGGGCTGGAGCCTCCACGAATTAGGTAAGGAAACTGACTAAAAGTTTTGCCAAGTACGAAGATTCTCAGAACAGCAATTAAAAAAAAAATAAATAAATCTGAAATCAAGTTACAGATTGCTGCAGCAGGAAACACTAAGACCTTTCTGATGGGCTGGCGCTCTGGCTCACGTGGGCGCAGGAAGGGAAGTTGGAAGGAATACTCAGGAAGCAAATTTTCTATGACAGTCCTGGCGCCTATGCCCAGAGTTGCTCAGTATCATTCGCTTTCAGTTGTTTGACTCCTTCAGAGGTGCGTGTGTAAAATCTGGCAGCAGGATCCGCGAGGTAAAACCACATGTCAGCGAGCAGACTCAAGACAAACACAGGTTGTGGGAAATTGGGAGTTGGGAGGGGGGGTAAGGCAAAGGAAATCTTTGCAAAACCCCTGTTGCGAGCAATTCCGAAAGGTTTCCCCACATCTGCAAGTAGTTTCCAAAATAGGTGAGATTTTACTTCTCCTCCCCCAAGCTTTCAAGGGGCTGGCAATTGGGAACCTTCTCTTCTCCAAATAAATCCTTTAACTGTCACTTAAGCAAAGACTTGAAAAAAAAAAATCTTCCATTGCCTTTACATCTTTATTTGACATTTCAATGCTCACCTTTTCCAAGTTACCATCAACACAGATTAGTTTTCTCTAGAAGAAAGTATGAAGGTAAAAAGGAAACCAGTGGAATAAATGCACAAACACACACACAAACCCTAGTCAGGTAAGGAAATTTGGTAAGGGGATTTGACTAGATTTTTATGTTTGTTAAAAGAGAATGGTTTGGGGGAGGGGCAAGTACCCTCTCCAACTTAAAATAAATTTAATAGGATGTAAGGATTGGGTAGAACTAAACCCTTTCGGCATGCAGTATGCTTCACATAACTGGGGTTTCCTCACAAAACTGGTCCACTGTAGTGACAGAGCTTCCCCTTTGGACATCTCTGACCCCATAGGACATAGAGCAGACAGCCGGGTTGAAAAGAGCCTGTTTAGTAAGCAGGTAGAAGCATTTGGTTTTGGAATCTCTTGCTGAGTCATTCTCAAATTCTTTTTCTAGTTAAAAAAAAAATCTTTGCATAATTAATAATAGTGTCTTTCTAGTTCAGGGCTAAATGAGATTGTATCATGCTTATCTCAAATGAAAGCGCAGAAAATACAAGTTTCCTAAGAGGATCAGCTCTTGAATTGACGAAGTTGTCTCTACTCCCCACATGAAGTTGTTTGTTTGTTTGTTTAAATATGGAACGCTTCATGAATTTGGGTGTCATCCTTGGCGTAGGGGCCGTGGTAATCTCTACATCGTTCCAATTTAAGTGTATGTGCTGCAGAAGCAAGCACCCCACATGAAGTTTTAAAGTGTCACTTGTTAATCTAATTGTCTGCAAACATCTCCTTAACAATTTTATTATATATAAGTTTGCATGAGTTTGAACAATAAATTTGACTACACAACACTTACTCTGCAACAATCATGTTTCATTCACTTGTTCTGGGACAAAAAATGCCACTATAATATCAGAGTCATTATAAAAATATTTATTATATCCTCCTTATAAAATGTACTGTTGCTTAATTTTACAATTTTATAAATAAATATGTGATCCAGGAAGTTATAATTAACTTAGAATAAATGTGTATAATAAAACCTAAATAAATATTTGTTAATGGCAAAATACTTACAGAGAATGTATATTTACATCACAGAATCCTAGATGTCTACACCTATTTTATTTTTAGATATGATTTTGAAATATTGATAAAAAGTATATCATAAAATTGTTGCTGTTGTGTACCATCGAATCAACTGCAACGCATAGCAACACTATGTACAATAGCTCTGAACCCTGTCAGATCCTGAGCCAATCTCATTGTCTCTAACACACCTGCCCCCGTTACCCTAGTCACTGTATCAATCCATCTCATCCATGGTCTTTATCTCCTGCATTGTCCCTCCACCCTTCCAAACATTATGTCCTTCTCCAAGGACTGGTTCCACCTGTAACATGACTAAGATGGAGCTTCAAAATTCTTGCCTCCAGAGAGAGCAACTTGGTTTCATCCTCTCTAGGACAGACCTGATTGTCTTCTTGACAGTTTAATACTCTACTCCAGCACTGCAACTCAAAGGCATCAATTCTTCTTCTGCCATCTTAATCATTGTCCGATACACCATAGCCTCTAAATTTACCTCTGTGTTCCTCAGCACTCTGGAGAAGTCGTTGACAGCAGACGTTGCTAATCCAATTCATCTTTTGATTTCCTGGTTCCTGGTGCCAAGAGTATAGATTGTGGACCCAAGCAAGCTGAAATTGTTAATACCTCAATCTCTTCTCCACCTATAGTTCTGCCAATTGGTCCAGTGCTAAGATTCTTCATTTTCTTAAGTTGAGCTTCAATCCATAATGAAGATTGCAGTCCTTAACCTTCTGCAGCAGACACTTTAGGTTCCCCTCAGTTTCAGCAAGAAAGGTTCTGTCATCTCCATACCTACTTTTAAACATTATTTATTTTAATAGTTGTTGTACTATCAGATTAAGAAAGAAATTTTGCTCTGTCTATAGAAAAATACAGCATCTGTAAGAAAATTCTCATGAAAAGGGAGTTCATTCATGGTATAGTCAGAGAATCTTAAGGAATAATACAAAGGGAAAGATAAGATTGATTCCCTTGGTAATTTAGACACTGATGTTTCTGGATGAACGGTCCCTGACCTGCATCTCCACCTACAGTGGACCTTAGTAGAGCTCCACGGTCCTAGATATTAACCCCATCAACAAAGATAGTGAGAGAAAAAGGTACCAATTGATATCTCCTATTTGCTATAACAGTAAATAAAGGTAACTTGCCTTACAAATGTCATTAAAAATGCCTGTTTTCCAATCTAAATTTTGTGATACATATACTACTAACTCATAGTTTAAGTTTAGGTTCATTCAGAGTCACCCAGAAGAAAGATCTGGAGATCTTCTTCCGAGAAATAGGACACTGTAACTCTGGTGTATAGTCTATAGGGACTTGAACTCCTAACTCAAATATGGTATTTTTCTAGTGATTCAAATCAATGAGCAACTCCATGGCAAGCTCCTCTGTGTGATTTACTATCTGAGAAACATGCTGGAGAGTCACCTAAGAATGGGTCCTGAGTCAATGGCAATGAGTTTTTTAGAAATCTTTTGGAACACAGTTCTATTCTAGCGTACGTAGGTTCTTCATGAATTGGTGTCTACAGATGATAGTGGCGGTAATGATGGAATTTTCCAATCTCGTTAATGCATGAGAGACTTTTTTACATCAGATCAAGTAATATATGTGTATCTTTCCCTCATGTCCCTTGTAAAACTAATACTACTAATAATCTGCAATTATATACAACACAACGTGACTCTCCCTTTTGTTCTTTTCCCTAGTCCCACTCCCTTCCCTGAGGCAACGGTTAACCTGTTAACTGATGAATATATATAGATTGAGCCATATGAAAATATCTATACATTACCAAAAGTAAAACAAAGCAAAACAAAATCCCACCAGGCAAATACTGAAAATTTCATTTGGCTCAATATTCCAAGCCTTAAAAGGGGAGAAAATATTCTTCTTACTATAGTATTGTTTTTCTAAATTACCTACAAGCATCTTAATCAGGCACTTTTAAAAGAAGACATTTTTTTCTGTGAGTTTTACTTATTACTTCCAATTTTATTTTACTTTAATTTTCTTAATCTCATATATTATACAGCGTTATTTTACATATCACCATTACAGGATACACTTAGCTTATTATCATTAGAATGTCGTTACATCTGATCAAAATCTGTCCTTATTGCCATTTTCCCAAGTAACAAGTAGGGTGCCAGACAGACTGAAAGGTGAGCAAACAGAAATATTTACTTCACAACAAAGGTGTTAATAAACAGGGTTTTTAAATTTGTTTATTGTGAAGAAAAAGAATAACACACACTTCCTGGGGGTGGGAGAATTAAAAGTTTTCCTTCTGCAAAGGATTTGGGTCTGAATAAGAGCATTTATTAAGCAAAGGGCCTCTGGTTATTCCTTAGTGGTTTGCTGCACTGTCTTTGCTCTGCCAGGTTCTTATTGTAGGGATTAGGGACACTCTGCTTTTATGGCATTATAAATAGAAAACAAAATAAAGGAAAAATCCTACTCATTGCTATCAAGTTGGAACTAACTCAAAACTACCCTCCTGTAAATTTTCAGAAGCTTTAAATTACAGAGGAGATGATTATTAACCTTTTTCCGGTGGATCCTCTGGTGGATTTGAACAGTCATAGAAGCACCACCTTCAGGATAGCAGCACAAATTCCTATGGCCTGCACCTCGCTGTTTCAAACCCTTTTGCTCTCTCCTTTATCTAATTCTAATGCGATCCACAGGCAAGATACATCTTTATTTCACCATGTCTTAGCTTTAGGCTCTCTCTGTGTCCTGAGTTAGTCTATACAGCCTCTCCTAAATCATTGCGTAAACACCCTCTCAAACCCATTGCCATCAAATCACTCCTGACTCATGGTGACCCTGTATAATTT